ATGCTGAGGGGGTAAATGCTGAGGGTGGTGAGGGGGTGATAGTGGTGAGGGGGTGATAGTGAGGGGCGGTGATGCTGAAAGAGGGGTGATGCTGAGGGAGGGGGGTGATGTGAGAAAGAGGGGGGTCTGTTGGGGACAGGGGGGAGACAACATACCCTTTATTCCCTGGTGGTCCGATGGGCTCCCTTGTGGTCGGGTGGCCATTACTTCCAGTCTGCAGCTCCGCAGAGCTGCAGACCATGTATCTCGTGAGTCCATCAGAGTGTTGCCATGGTAACCCGTGGCAACGCTCTGATTGGCCAGTTTTCTGCGACACACATGGTCTGATGGCTGGCCGGGCAGCCAGGAGGGGCCTCGCACCCAGTGACCGAAGACCCAACACAGTCTGCCCTCAGGTGGTTTAGGCGTCTGTGTATCAAGGTGTGTGTATCTGTGTTTGTATGTGCCAGTGTGTATGAATCTGACACACAGATGCACACACTTTGGCAGATAGTGGCACACAGATACACACACTGACACATACATCTTGACTCACAGATACAACCACACTCAGATACACACAGTGACATATACACACACCTACACCCACAGATACACACTGGCACATACACACACTGACACACTCAGATACACACACATTGCCATACACACACACTGATACACACTGGCACACACACACACTTAGATACACACCGTGACACATACACAAACTTTGACACACAGATACACACACTAACACACTCAGACACACACTTTTTGACAGGCACACATACACTCTCACTGACAAACACACATACTCTTTTATTATCATTATTTTATTATTTATATAGCGCAGTCACATTCTGTAGCGCTGTACAATGGGTGGACTAATAGACATGTTATTTTAGAGGTGGAGGGCCCTGCTCAATGAGCTTGCATTCTGGAGGGAGTGGAGTATAGTGACACAAAGGGTAAAAGTAGTGGTACGAAGTAGGTTGTTAGAAAGGTATTCATTGAGGGCTTACTAGGTAATTTTTGACAATTGCAGGAGAGGAGTCATGGGGGATAAAAACCTGCTAACAGTTTAATTGATATGCTTTCTTGAAGAGGTGCAGCCCTGGAGAAATCTTGGAGGCAAGCATTAGGATATACGTAGGTCTTTGGCAGAGCGTAGGGGCCTTGACAGGACATACTTGTGTATTAGGGAGGATAGGTAGGTTGGAGCAGCATTATGTAGGGACACAGAATTTTACAGACACACATACAAAAACATATATACTCTCACTGACAAGAACACATACATTCTCACTGACAAACACATACACTCTCACACACTCACTGACAAGCACACATTCACTCTCACTGACAAACACACATATACTCTTTGACAGACACACAAACACATACAAACTCCCTAACAGACACACATACAATTTTTTTTTTCATCCACCCAGCACCCCAAACTTTAGGAGCGCTGGCATTGAGTCCCTGGGGTCCAGTGGGGCTGCTGAGCGGCTGGCGTGAAAGCTGTGAGGGAGCAGTGATCAGCTCCCTTGCCGCCTCTTAGTTATGCCAGAGCCGGAGTGATGTCATTTTCCCGCTCCAGCATCACTAGTGAAAGCGCAAGGGAGCTGAGCAGGGAGATCACTGCTCACTGCTCCCTCGTCGCCCGCCGCCATTTTATTTTTTAAACTTTGGCAGAACCCCAATTGTGTTCTTGCGGAACCCTAAGGCTCCGCGGGACACCAATTGGGAAACACTGACTTAGATGCTTCCCCTTTTAATATTTTTAATAATTCATGATACTATGTGCTGACTGCATTTAAAATTACTGCTAATTTTTGAATTTTTGTACATGCTTTCTATATGGATCACTGAGCTTATGAATGTATATAGCAGTAACTTATACACTTAAGATATTTGTATTGTATTTGTATCATGTTTGGAGCGAAATGTTTTCACAATCTACTATAGAAGTTACAAACTGAATACAAAATATGTTTCTGTGAACAGCAAGTCTCCATGTATAGTTTTATGTTTTTTTTCTGAAGTGGCAATATGTATGTGAACAGTAGAGTTGAGCGAACCTGGACTATAAAGTTCAGATTCGTACCAAACATTATGTTTTTTGGACCCCGGACCCGAACACGGACATATCAGTGTATGTTCGGGTTGGAGTTCGGTGTTCGTGATTTAATGGCGCGTTTTGAAAGGCTGCAGGGCAGCCAATCAACAAGCGTTTGACTCGTGTGCCCTTAGAAGCCATCACAGCCATGCCTACTAATGGCATGGCTCTGATTGGCCAGTGCAGCATGTGACCCAGCCTCTATATATAAGATGGAGTTGTGTAGCACCGCATGAGCATGAGCTCTTATTAGTGTAGGGAGAAGATGCTGCAGCTGTTAGGGACAGATTAGGAAAGAATACTGGTGTTGAATCTGCAAACTACAGCGATTATTCAAACTACAGCGATTATTTTTGTGGTGCTATAATACTAAATTTTTGTACCCTGCCCTGAGCCCAGTGCCAAAGAGAGTGCAGTGCACTTGCAACTGCATGTGTGCCAGGCACATTACTTTAATCCTGTTCTTGTAGCTTAGTGGGCAACATCTAGGCATTTTTAAATACTGCAATTTTTTGGGTGCTAAATAGTACATTTGCGTACTGCAGTTCTTGCAGTCCAATAAAACCCTTAAATACTACTGTTACATTGTTGGTTTAAAAAATCTAACTTTTTGGTGCTAAATAGTACATTTGCGGCCTGTGGTGCACTTCATATCTGAAAGTCAAATAGAACCGTCAAATACTGTGCTTACATTGCAGTTTTAAACATTCAAATTCTTAAGGTGCTAAAAAGTAAATTTGGTGCCTGCACTTCATATCTGAGAGTCAAATAGAACCGTCAAATACTGTGCTTACATTGCAGTTTTAAACATTCTAATTCTTTAGGTGCTAAAAAGTCAATTTGGTGCCTGCACTTCATATCTGAGAGTCAAATAAAATCGTCAAATACTGTGCTTACATTGCAGTTTTAAATATTCAAATTCTTTAGGTGCTAAAAAGTAAATTTGGTGCCTGCACTTAATATCTGAGAGTCAAATTGAACTGACAAATACTGCTGTGACATAGCAGTTTTAAAAATTCAAATTCTTTAGGTGCTAAAAAGTCAACTTGGGGCCTGCACTTCATATCTGAGAGTCAAATGGAACCGACAAATACTGTGCTTACATTGCAGTTTTAAGCATTCAAATTCTTTAGGTGCTAAAAAGTCAGTTTGGTGCCTACACTTCATATCTGAGAGTCAAATAGAACCGTCAAATACTGTGGTTACAGCGCAGTTTTAAAAATTCTATTTTTTTTGGCTGCAAAATAGTACATTTGCGGCCTGCGGTGCACTTCATATCTGAGAGTCAAATAGAACCGTCAAATACTGTGGCTACAGCGCATTTTTAAACATTTAAATTCTTTAGGTGCTAAATCGTACATTTGTGGCCTGCACTTCATATCTGAGAGTCAAATAGAACCGTCAAATACTGTGCTTAGAGCACCTTTTTAAACATTCAAAAACTTTAGGTGCTAAATTGTACATTTGGGGCCTGCACTTCACATCTGAGAGTCAAATAGAACCATCAAATACTGTGCTTACAGCGCAGTTTTAAAAATTCAAGTTTTTTGGCTGCATAATAGTACATTTGGTGTGTGCACTTCATATCTGTCTAAAAGTCTAAAAACTTTTTAAAAAAGTGAAACATAAGTGTTATTGTGATCGCTTCATATACAGAAGCATTAATATACATTTCCAGATTGTGTAAAGACACAACTACAAAGTTAAAAACCAAACACCAAAACAACGTGGAAGGTCATGCAAGTGACGTGTGCAGTTTGGAGGAAGAGGCGCTGGTCGCACAGAAGCACCAGCACAGCATAAGAGGGAGCAGGGTACAAAAGCGGAGCGGCCGTCACCTAGCGCTTGTCGGCATGTATTATCTCTAGAATTCCCACACTTATCCAAGTAACAGATGGAGTGATAAAAGGAACCATAACAGATTTAACAAGCCATTTGCAGTTTCACAGTCAGGGTGGCAGTCCGGTGACCGGGACCCAGACACTGTCTGGGTGGTGGTCGGATGACCGGGACCCAGTATGCTTGATGTTGAAGTTAGGAGTCAAAGTGTGGAATGGATTAGCAGGGTCTGGTGCAGGGTAACCGCACGCCCCCTAGTGTTGAGCACCAGCGTTTGTGCGGCCACATACCCGGACCCTGATGCAGCTTCAGTGAGCAGCAGCAGGCGATAGTGGGGTATCAGCTGCAGCACGCACGGGTCAGTCGCTCTGCACTAGACTTGCCCTCCAATTGATCCAAGTTAAAGGATTTAACGTGGACTCATTACAATTACAGGGCCTTGAAAGAGTAGTGTATTGTTATTTATCGTCACTACCTCCCCGCGTCGGGAGTGGGTAATTTGCGCACCTGCTGCCTTCCTTGCATGTAGTAGCCGTTTCTCAGGCTCCCTCTCTGGAATCGAACCCTGATTCCCCATTACCCGTGGTCACCATGGTAGGCGCAGAAAATAGCATTGATAGGGCAGACATCCGAATGCGTTTTTGCCATCACAGGGACGTGCGATCAGCATGAGGTTATCACAGACAAGCGCAGCCGCCTGTCCACGGCCAACATGGACAAGCTCACGTTTATTAAAATGAACCAGGCATGGATCCCACCAGGCTTGTCTGTACCTTGTGCAGAATAGACATTTATACCGGCCTCACCCAGCCATTGTTATACTCAAGTGCACTTATTCTTTTTTTTCTTTTTTTATATGTCCCAATATTTTGGGGGCTACCCCAATTAAAAAAACAAACAAAAAAAAACGTGTTGGCTACCTCCTCCTCCACCACCACCGCCGCTTCCACCTACACCACCACGGTGTATACCCAGATATATCAGAGCTGCTGCAGAAAGTGTGGGCCGTCTGTGCGCGCTTTTGGCGTTCTCACCCTGCTGCTGCTCGCCTGTCTGCGCTACAGCATAACTTTGGCCTTCCTGCTCACCGCCTCATATGTGTACTCATTCCAATTAAAGGGCCTCGAAAGAGTCGTGTATTGTTATTTATCGTCACTACCTCCCCGCATCGGGAGTGGGTAATTTGCACACCTGCTGCCTTCCTTGCATGTGATAGCCATTTTTTTCAGGCTCCCTCTCTGGAATCGAACCCTGATTCCCTGTTACCCGTGGTCACCATGTTAAGCACGGAAAATAGCATCGAAAGTTGATAGGGCAGACATCCGAATGCGTTGTCGCCATCACAGGGACGTGCGATCGGCACAAGGTTATCACAGACAAGCGAATCCGCTTGTCCACAGCCAACGGGGACAAGCTCACATTTATTAAAATGAATACTTGTCTGTACCTTGTGCACTTATTCTTTTTTTTCTTTTTTTATATGTCCCAATATTTTGGGGGCTACCCCAATTAAAAAATAAAAATAAAAAACAGTGTTGGCTACCTCCTCCTCCACCGCCGCCGCTTCCATCTATACCGCCACGGTGTATACCCAGATATACCAGAGCTGCTGCAGACAGTGCAGGCCGTCTGTGCGCACTTTTGGTGTTCTCACCCTGCTCCTGCTCGTCTGTCTGCGCTGCAGTGTAACTTCGACCTTCCCGCTCACCGCCTCATATGCGACGTGCCCACAAGGTGGAACTCCACCTTGCACATGCTGGAATAGCACCACTTCACCACCAATGAGTGGGCCTCCATGCGAGACCTGTGTGCAATGTTGCGCTGTTTTGAGGACTCCACCAGCATGAAATGTTGCCATGTTTTTATTGAACACACCATGTAAACATTCACAGTGCAGGTGGAAAAAGTATGTAAACCCTTGGATAATAATAATTTTCCACCTGCACTGTGAATGTTTACATGGTGTGTTCAATAAAAACATGGCAACATTTAATTCTTTGTGTGTTATTAGTTTAAGCAGACTGTGATTGTCTATTGTTGTGACTTAGATGATGAACAGATCACATTTTATGACCAATTTGTGCAGAAATCCATATCATTCCAAAGGGTTCACATACTTTTTCTTGCAACTGAATAAGAAAACATATACCCCTATGCTAATCTCCCCCGCTTTATCTCTCAACCAAATCCATACCACCGACATTGGCGTCCTGTGAAACAGAGTGTTGGTTGGTGGAATAAAAGGATGTAGGCCAGTGACACGAATCACGTAACCAGCATGTTCCACACACATAGGTTTCTCAATTATTGTGGCAGTTAATGGGATACATTTGGACATACATACATTTCCTTAACTACATTTTGACCATGTCTGAGGTAGTTAGTCCATCACTTGAAATCACTGGCACAAAAATATAAAAAATTATTAAAAGTAACTTTAAAAGATGTGTATGTATTTCTACCATTCTCTGTTTCTATTTGAAGCTTACCAGTAATTGTTACTGGCATCACATTGTGGTTGTGCATTTCTTGTACAGTGTACGTGTCAATGTACGAAACTACCAAAATGTATTTGTTCAGCTACGCCCTCGATTTAAAGCTTACTTAAAGCTTGGAGGTAACAACGCAAATTTGGGACATATGCATAACTCTGTTCAACCATTACTGGTTTCATTAGGTAACCAAAATGTACAAGTTTTTAGAAAGTATACCCCTCAGTACCTGACAGTACTTAAACTTGACAAAATTCGTCCAAATTTAAATTCAGACCGAAACGAATTGCACATGCCTAGTAAAAACATCGGACCAGTCACTTTCCTCTAGTTGCACCCTTCCCATTTGAATTTGTAGTGTGTTCAGGTGTGTTAGACTTAATATGTTAGGAGCATAATATGGAAATCAGACCTGACTTCTTATGCAATAGTCTACAAGTAATCTCATAAAAAGTTGGATTTTTCTTTAGGGTATTCTCTTAAGTAAGAGCATACAAAGGGGAGAGACCCAAAGTAATCCTGACAGGTGAAATTGAAACTACCCCACCTGGTGCACCTTAATTGTAACAGAAACCCAGGCAACCAAATGTCTGACCTCCATAATACCTTTCTGTATCCATCATTAAAAGATGAAGAGGGCAACTCCTTAGGGAACGTAGGATTATAATCTACTGTCTTCTGAGGAGAGGTCCGCAATCATAAGGAGTGCTGGACCGGATTTTATAAGAGCTGTGTTAGGGTGTCATAAAATTGACTGTAATGGGATAACAAGGACCCTCATCTCTTCTTCCAATGAGAACCACCAAGGCCAATAGACAAATGTATTTAAATTAACATGGCAAATTGAGTGGCCTTATAGTTTGCAAATAAATGTGGAACGCCCAAGAAATTGTCACTTTTATAAATTAAGTCTAGACTGGGGAAGAAGGGGAGGTCTTGCAAAGGCTGCAAACAAGAAAGCTGCAGCTTTTGCAAGCTGTTTTTACATATACCTAATATTTTATGTCAGGACATAATAACAATCATCTGTTCCTTAGGAGGTCTTAAAATTAAGTAAATGCAACCTACGTTGACAACAGAATAACACATGGCGTATTACATCGTGTCATAATTTATCAAAAATAAAGCCAAAATGGAGAAGCCATTTGTGAACAATTATTGCTGCCATAGGAATTAAGAGTATAAGTAGCAGACAGGTGCTGCTAATCATATTTCCTTGATTAACTGAAAAGTAGAAAACAATCAAGACAGTTGTCAATCTTCCCAGGGGTGGACGTCCCAGCAAATTCACCCCAAGGTCAGATCTTGCAATGCTCAGAGAGATTGCAAAAAGCCAAAGAGCTACATCTCAGATGTTACAGGCCTCAGTTAGCATGTTAAATGTTAAAGTTCATGGCAGTACAAATAGAAAAAGACTAAAGAAGTATGGTTTGTTTGGAGGGGTTGCCAGGAGAAAGACTCTTCTCTCTAAAAAAAACATGGCAGCATGACTTAGGTTTGCAAAGTTGCATTTGAACAAACCGCAAGACTTCTGGAACAATGTCCTTTGGACAGACAAGAACAAAGTGGAGATGTTTGTATTGCAGCCAAAGGACCTTGGAACCTTGCCGTCAATGAGTTGACCATGAACTACTCTGTATACCAAAGTATTCTAGAGTCCAATGTGAGGCCATCTGTCCAACAGCTAAAGCACACCAGTAAAACTAAAACATAATGACTGAAAAAGAAAAGAATGAAGAATACAAAACTGTATTCCTAACACTATAGTCCCTCTGCCCCCCACTGAGCAATAAAAAGATTACAAAATTTTCTCCAACTGCACCGCCGTCAGTGTGAGGGAGAAACCAATGCTCATCCCATGGGGATTTGCAAGATGCTGGACGTCCTCATGCAAAGCGTGAGGACATTCAGCGTTATTTCAAGGAGTTTAACTCTGTGAATGGCCTGGAAGAGTCTATAGCAGTTATCTGGTAGATAGCCAATATAGGCAGTATTAACCCTTTAATGGAATAATTGCAGTTTCTCTACGTTTCTGGCACTGCACCCAGACCACTTCAATGAGATGAATTGGTCTGGATGTCTACTGTGTCCCTTTAATATTACTGTAAAATATACTGGATAAATTTAAAAAATTGTGTAATTTAGCAAAATTGTAATGCATATCTGACCTGCAATCTGTATTTCAAATAGTTTTATTCCTGCATTTATTCAATAGCAATATATGCCATTTAAAAAAAAAAATTAACGTTATGTTTATACTTTGAAAACAAAAAGTAATTCAAGGGGATAAGCAATGACACTGGAATAGTTTATTTCAATCATATAAAGGTTTTTTATAATGGTTTAATCGGGAGCAAATAATGCACAACTAGAAAGAGCAATTGATCCACCTTTAACATTGAATAGCAACTTTGTTTATATTTATCAGGTGGAACTGCTGTGATAACAGCAGTAGGGGTACCATTCGAACTAGTCTAACAATGTGGACTTCCTTATCTCCCTTACTATAATAATATAATAATCAAGGTGTCTGAATTGTGCAAGTAGCCAAGGAACTGCTCACAAAACATAATTTTCCCCATCCAATTATTTATTTATTACTGTGTTATTTATTATGGGAAATGGTTGTTAACAACAGTGCTTTCTGAAAGATGGACATAACAATCTTACCATGAATGAGATAATCATATGTTCAATACCCAGCATGTGTATGGTATGGATAACCTATTAATCACTGCTCCATAGAGATAAGCGTAGACTTGCTGCGCTTGACAACTTTGAAAGCCAAGATAGCACTGTGGATATTATCCTATAATATTGATTAGTTTGTTAACTGTGGACATATACTAAGAAATATTTTAGAATAGAATACGGCTTATTGATGCAGAAGATCAAACATGAGATGGGGGGTGGATGTTTACCGCAATATGAAGTCCAGAAAGTCACAGCATTAGGTCCATAATGGTTTTACATATGCATTTTCATTTAGTTCACCAAGTTACTAAGGCTGGAATTATTTTCCTTGATTATACCAATAAAAAGTATCAGCATTTGGTGTTTTATCTGGTGTCTTATTCCATGGGTATATACAGCAACTTTAATATATTCATGTTTTTGTTTGCCCTTATTATTTTATATATTGTTTAGTATAGATTTATTAAATTTAGGATATTTATTCCAATGTTATTGAGTTTATTTTTTAATAAATATAGGCCATCAAAAACACTAATGCATA